ATTTTGGTGTTGGTGTATAGTATTTATGCTACCATCATTCTGGCTCCATGACTGTTTTGAATTAGACAATTAGCCAGTTATTTGTGTTACTCATGCCTTATGCTATAACATTTTGCAGGACACTGCAGAATATCGGTAATTGCATTTTTGAGCAGAGCAGGCAGCCCTGGCATATTATTGTGATAATTTCAGTTTCATAGTTTTTCCTCCTAAATATGTACATGCATGATGTACACTACAGACTCTCTTGTATAAGTTGTACTGGTAAACTCCCTTTAACATCATGTAGCATTGTTGCTGCTATTTTTGAATCATGTAGTCACGTACACACAGGGAGTGGGCCACACTATACTCAATAAATCTATTTACAAAACTACCCAGCAAAAAAATTGTTTAAAACTACCCATAAAAGGTTATCTCAGTTCTGGAAGTCTATTGTTTAGTGAAACTGAGGTAACCACCTATGGGTTGTTTTAACTACTAATTTTTTGCAGTGTATATGCTGAGCTATCACAACAGTTTCAGTTTCATAAACACATCTACAGGCATTTCTTTGGTCAACAATGCTTTCACTACAAGTGGTTGTCTTCTTGTTGAGTGTCAGTGAAGTTATTAGTCAATGTCCACCTTCCTCAGGTAAGACACTGGATGTGTATAATAACAACTGTATAGGTTTTTACAGGTATATACCTGAGGCATGGTGGAACCTGTTATACTAATAATGGATCATTTTTTACTGACAGTAGCATCAGACCAACTCCTATAGAGTGTGGATTACCTGGTGCTACTCTGATTGGTGGACAATAGATTGGTCCTAATGGAGTAATTCCTTGTGATGGTGGTAGCAATGAAAATGTTCAATGTACTACTGGGTCAGGTGCCAGTCTCAGTGTTTCCATAAATCCTCCAAGCTTTCTTGGGGCAGATGGTGATGGCTAGTATATGTGTTGTCTAACCACTAATTGTTCAACTCCTGGTACTAACATCATCACTGCTACTATATTCAGTACTAAAGAGGAGACTATAATCACTTACTGTTGTAATAATTTTCATTTGTAGGATTTGCAGAGATAGAATCATTTACTGTTGCTGGTCTTCCTTCTGATATGACAGTATATCCTCAGGAATACAAATTGAATTGTACTAAAATTGGACACTTATGGTATGACATTAGTATGAGCATTGGTAGTACTGCACTGGCTAGTTACACTAATTGTAATGATAATAATAATAATTGTCCTGGTACTGAGTTAGTTAGTAGTACCAACACTGTAAGATATACTGTTGACATCACATGGGATGGAATGAATGTCAGTAGGGGATCAATCAGTGAATCAACCACTGGAGATCAAATTTATCAGTGCAGGTTAGCAGATGATCCTAATAGTATTGAAATTAGAATACGTAATGCAACTGTAACAGGTAAGTTAATGAATGATGCCAATAATTTTGATACCAATAATATTAGTACCAGCAACTGCCCCTTCTTCTCTTACTGAGGTCAACAAGACAGCTACCACTATCACTGTCAGTTGGACTGCACTTGATTCATCTGATGCTGATGGATATGTAGTCAATGTCACTAGTGACACAGACACTGTGCAGACAGTACATGTAGAGGGAAGTAGTAACAATACAATCACACTGAATGGACTGAGAGGAGGAACAACTTATAGCATCACAGTCAGAGCCTATCAACAATTACTGGGACCTGCTAGTATAATCGGTGTACAGACCTTACCAGGTATAATTGCTACTACGCCTTTTAATGTACTTGTAACATTGTTGATGTATTTCTAGTTATTAATTCAATCAATTGGACACTAGTCTCATCCATTACACAACTCAATAACACTCAATATCGTATTGATTGTCTCACAACTACTGACATAAATCCTTCAACTGATGTTTACTGGTTAGTGAATGGAGTGATGAAGAGTAACTCAATGTATACATCAATTGATGCCGTGACATACAACAACACACTAGAGTACCTTATGAATGACCGGACATCACCCGTGTCATTTTATAGGTTTAAATCCAACAGAGGCTCAACCCTACACTAAATAATTTTTTAAATTTTTTGTCCTAGTATATAGCAGCTCCTATTTATATATAGCAGCTCCTATTTGTATATAGGAGCTCCTATTTATGTACAGCAGCTCCTATTTATATATAGCAGCTCCTATTTATATATAGCAGCTCCTATTTGTATATAGGAGCTGCAATTTATGAATTGGAGATGCACCTTGCCAAAAAATATTTCTCTTTTTAATAGATGGCTTATTGTCCTGTTTGGCGCCCCATAAATAATAAGCAGCTCGTTAGCCATCTTCTTCTCTAGATTCGACTATTCGAGCAAATTTTAAGGCCAACGTGGCAGATCACGTGAGCAGCTTATATAAAAAAAAGGAAAAATCTTTAAAATTGCTACAGATTTGAGTGGATAATCGGCCAAATACATTGTCATACATGAAGCCTTGCCATGATGTGGAATTATAATGCTTTGCGGAATTAAATTGTGCGTTTTTATGATGAACAGCAAACAGCAAAATTAAATTCCAGCAAATATTTCCAGCTATACGGTATGTCCATATGCCAATAATACAATGTACAAGAAATGAGTAGTAGGCAAAAACATAACACTCGTTTTATATTAATCATTGTTAAAAATGTAAGAATTTGATGCTTTAACTTGAATACGTAACAATGCTATTTTAGTGCACTATATGAGCGCCAAAAAAGGGTTTGTTCAAATTTTTGGCGTACTTTGTGTGCCACTCATCTCTGGGCCCCCTCATTATTTCCTTCCCAGCTATGCCCTAGTCCAACACAAATAATTCATTAAGTACCAAACCAAAACCCCACCTTAATAGTATCTAATATACCATATAACGCTTTATTTTGGTGGCACTTTATTTTGGTGATTTTGATGTAAAATTGTAATTGGCGGCTTTTAATTTTGCAATTTTTGTGTACATGTGCATTACTGAGCATTCGCATTAATGATTGGCGGTTTTAATATTGGCGATTCTGCTTGCAAACTGCCAATCGCCAAAATAAAACTCCGCCAAATTAAAGGGTTATACGGTATAATAATTATCTAAAGCGCATGATCTAAGTCTCTAGGCACATGGTCTTAAAGTTTATTGTGCCAGTAGAAAAGCAACCAATACAGGCCAGTATGTACACTTGTAGTGGTAAGCCCAGTTTGTTAGATAATAATCATAGGCATGTATATTTAGTATTAGCACACGTGTAATTGTACAAGCCACATTGGTTACAACAGCTTTTTAAGACAGGCAGGGTAGTGAGAGTTTGGCAGCCATTAAAAATGTTTTGACCCCCAGCTCTGGTTCTCAAGGCTGGACTACCTAGCCTGCTGTTTGCTACGGCTTTCATGTAACTATAAAAGTTTGTTTATATTTTCACGTAGTATGGCAACTGGTTTCTCTGAGTCATGGACAGAGGGTTGAGGGTGAGATGCCAGGAAGATAGCCAGGAAAGAAGTCTATGCGGGTAGGTAGACTAGAAGATTCAACCGACTGTGGCCAACACTCTGCGGACAACAAAAGTTGAGCGTAATGTCCCCTCTTAAACTAAATGTCATAATATTTAATCTCTCTCTGTCTTTTCTCATGTGAATAATGTACATGTGTTTTTGGCATGAGGGGCATAGTCAATTTGGCGACATGTTCAGTTTTCTCCAGTTAATGATACATATAAATTATTTATTAATAAACTAATAATGTATATGAAATAATTACCAAAAGTCTAATCTGTTTTCAATAGTTTTATAATAAGGTAATGAATAACAAGTTTGTTTATGTTTATTTTCTAGAGCTAGTTTTCTTAGTGTATTATTGGTCCTGAGAGATTCCATCAGTACCAGTACTCCATCAGTATCAATATTAGTACCATTGAGCCAAAGGGTAGATAGTGTGTGGTTGTAGAGTAAAAGTTTAGCTAGTGACTGAGCACTGGTTGAAGTGATGTCAGGATTGTCAAGGAGATATAAGCCAGTAATTGTTTTATTATTAATTATTGATTGTGTTAGTGCAATGACTCCATCATCATTGATGGAATTAGGACTGATCCATAGTGCCTCTAATGAAGTATTGTTTGTTAGTTTGTGTGACAGTGAGTGGATGACATCTTTTGTTACTTTAGTGTAATTTATATGAATCCTCTTTATTGTTCTTATATCTAGTACTTGTGACATCAGTAGGTGTACAATATCAGGTGATGAGTGATGGAGGTTAATGTTCTGATGACTGTCCGTTAATTGACTGATCACTTCCTGACATTGACCTGCTGATGGTTTAGTGAGGGTTACTTTATCACTGCCCCACTTCACCTCTCCTGTCTCTCCTCCTAATAATAAACACAGTTAGTCAAGTATATTACAATTTAATACAGTATACTAGGTAAACAATAAAATATATTATTAATGATGTTTGTTTGTGTGTTTCAGGTAATGCTGGTTATTGTACCAGTAAGTCATTACACTTTACAGCTGCTAGGATGTAATAAGTGTGGTCTATTTTTTATTATGTGACAGTAAACAAATCAATTGTACGTTTTATTAATGTATTTATCTGTTTTCATTCTTTCTCTTTTATTGTGAATAGGAGACATTAAATTAGAATACAAGACTCTAGTATAATGATGTAAAATTATTTTGACTGCATAATTTTAGGATTTTTGCTAAATTTCTATTGCTGTTTTGTATAACTGCATATAATTCCTTTTTAAATAAAATTTTACTGTCAAACTCAATCACTTGTACATGTACTTCTATGCAATGGACACAATGGGACATGAAAGTTACTGTTATACACAGGTGTCCTTTATGTGGAGGTTATATTATTCAGTAAGGAATGTAATTGGTGCACTAGGTGCTGTCCATTAGGAGGTGTGCACTATAGAGAGCATTTGTTAAGAGAGGGTTAACTGTAACAATGATGTATTTTTTGTTTGTATTAATTATTACTATTAGATTACTCACCTCCACTGGATAATAGTATTTCTTTTATTTGAGTGTGTCCTCCTTCATTAGCTATCTCTACTGCACTCTTTCCTCTCTCATCTTTACTGTTAGGATCAGCTCCTAACTGCAGTAGCATTGATACTTCAAAACTATCACCAGCTTTAACTGATTCATGGAGTGAAACATCAAAATTGTTATCATCTTCTCTTCTGATAGAAATCAGTTTATTGTCAACAGCAACTTCTAATATTCCTAATCTACTCATTGAGGTCATGTTTATATTGATATCATCAATAAGAGACTGCAATAGTGAAGTTGGTATCGACAGTGTAATAACAACTGAACCAGTCTCAATGTCCACTATAGTAAATATATCTGCTACTTTATGCGAAAAGTAATACTGAAGGACTCTTTTAAATTTAGTTAGAGTCATTTCGTCCCATCTGTCGCTTAGCTGAATAACGACTGGTTTTGTTTGATCACTAGAGGTCAGAGAGGCTCCTGCTGGTAATGATGATAATTTCTTTTTGATTGTTGATCTTATGTGTTTCAATTGTGATGATTCTGAGAATTTATCAACACTATCAATGTATTGAGTTAGTTCAGTTTGTGAATTTGAAAGGTAAGAGTTTGTCAAGTGTTTAAGTACACCAAAGCTGAAGAAATCATAATGAGGCTGAAGAGAATCAAATAATTCATCAACATCAACATATTTCAACTCGGATACTTGAATACTTAAATAAGCTGCTGCACTCCTAGCTACAGCTTTAAGCTTCACTTTACCCTTTTCCACCAGTTCCTCAAACTCACCTCTTATATTAGAATCAAGAGATGCAAAAAGAGAAATAAGATCTCCAATATTAGTAGCAACTTCACTCTTTGAACTGAGCTCAATGACAGTAGTAGGAGTAGATGATAGTGATCCAGTGATTGTTGGTTGTGGTGTGTGAGATTGTGCAGTGACATCCACTGGTTGAAGTGGTCCCTTATTGACTGATGGTTCCTGCTCTAGATTAGCATCAACATGACCACCTTTCATTTCTATTATAAATGAAAATTTAGATAATAAATAAGTAAGGTATAAGATACTGTATATCTTACTTAATTTTACCATTAGTTTAGATGCCATGCTCTTTAGTTCTACTTTCTGTAGTGATGTAATGAGAGAAGAGAACACACTGTTAGGATTAGGATGACACTCAAGTGTTGCTAGTACTGAAGAGAATATTTTATTAGCTCTATCATAAGGACTGAGTCCTGCAGTACTTTCCACAGTAACATGTACTGCTTTAGGAATGAGATTAGATGAAAAGAGATGATTATTTATCTGAGAAATAACTGGAGCATTTCCTGCTAACAGGTCAACAAGATCAGCTAACATCTCTTTCATTGTAATGTATTCTTTAGATGTGTCCTGAGACTGTAAAAACAAAAAGTTAAAATAACCCCAGGTTGGTTACTTTTACCACTAAATTTAATAGTTATTGTAACCAATTTTTTGTTATCTTAACTAATTTTAGGTTAATTTTGATCTGAGGCATTATTTTCACCAAATTAAGTTTTTTTAACATCTTGTAAAGTTGTTTTAACTAATGTAAGTTGTAAAAATAACCACATCATAATAATTAATTTAACCTCTGCGGTATGGTTACGCACACTGAGCATGCGCAGAAGAGCAGTGCCTGTGGTCCCTGGGCAGTGGCCCGTGGGCAGTTGCAGCTGCAGTCTTCTTTGTCATTTGCCCACCATTATTGACTCTGCTTTTGCTGTTTTATTAGTACTGTTCCTGTCTTTTAAGATGCACTGAAATATTTCAATAGGTGAGCCAAAGATTACTAATTCTTTTGAACATTTTAGATGAAAATATCTAAACCACAGACATCATTCTAAGCGGTTATGTGTCAACAGCTGGACTCGAGAAGAAGTACAGGAGTGCTTGCTTGTATTATGGTAACACAGCTACTCCAGTATCTATAACAATAGCTATCAAATGTTTTGTTTAGGCAACTTAGTGTTTCAGACAGTTTAAGGCTAACTGTGTCGGAATCTGTGATGTCAGTGGAAATCACATCTAACTAGGTCGTGCTAGGATAGTCTGAAGGCAGTTGGAATCACAGTCAGGCACTATTCATATAATGTTTTTTTTTTGTTTCATTAAAAGTATGCAGGTTTTAATCCCGAAACTGATCATCAAATTGAATTTTGGCAACAGTTTCTAATTATTATGCTGGGTCTATTTATTTATGGATGAACCAAACCTCATTAGGCTTCACAAGTTAGTAGTCACAACTTTTATTGTTGATATCATTTTAATTAT